CTCGTGCCCGCGTTCACTTCCGCCACCCAGACTCATCCCTATGGGATGCCAGGTTGGGAGAAGGATGCAGTGATGCCGGTGCAGATCCAGAGCCTAAAGGCAGCATCCCCTGCATTCCCCGGCGGCAAGCTCCAGGAAAACATTGGCATCGCCCCTTCCCTCCTAAAGCAGAGGTGTTTCCCCAAGGAGGATGCATAGCAGCAGAAGTCAGCTTGAAAAAAAAAAAATGATTAAAACAATAGCCAGGGAGCAACCCAACCAACTCGGCGGAGCCGAGTGCCAGGTTTGGCTATTTTCAGCCCTGCCAGCTGAGGGTTTTGCTCCCCCTGGAAACTCCCCATCCTCAAAGAGGGGCTCAGGAAAGCAGCTGGGGCACGCAGAGGAACCCACCAGCCTCTCCTCCGCCGAAAACAGCCTCTGTTTCTTCCCCACCCTCCGCCTGAGCATCCTCCCTGATGCTCTGCCCAGGCAACCTGGTGAGGAACCTCACCCTGATGCTGCACCCCGAGAAGGGCCGGGGTACTTGCTGGTCCTCACCACCTCCCTCCCAGCCCTACTCCTGGATTTCCCTCCAGGAAGCCTGCCTTGGCGGCCAAGAGCTGGGGAAGGTGGGCAGGGCAGGTACAGTAGATACCTTCGCCACCCTGATAATCCAAAGGGCACTGGGGAAACGAGCCGGGGGAAACTTTTCCTCTCGTTAATCACTGGCATTTCCTCCTCCTGCCAAAATTGTGCTGTGCCAAACCTGCAGGCAGGCTGGGACCAGTGCCCAGGGGGAATTTGGGACCCCCAGACCGAAGACCACCAGCAGCATGGGATGGGTTGGGGGAAAGATGCCACGTGTCCATTCCAAACCCAATTAGCCAGAGGGAAACTGGGACCGGACCCTTCCCAGCACCAGCTAAGGATGACTCTATTTGAAATAAAGTTTAGTTGTAGATGGTAGGAAAGCTTCTTTCCCATCGGAAATAGGCGTGCAGGCGCCATCCACATCCACCCCACTCAGCTCATCCATCTCACCCTCACCAAAACATCTCCCAACGCTCAACAACCCGAGTTTCTTTAAACTTCAAAAAAAAAACCAACCCAAAACCAGACAACATCCTCACTCTCTCCAAAAGATCTTATCGTCTGTTATTACAAGTAACACCTACGATTACTATAATCGAAAGAAAAACGTTCCTCCTTTATCTCATCAGCAAGCTGGCTGCGCTCGCAGGGAGGGTTTTGCTGATGCTCCCCCAACCCAGCCTCGACTGCATGCCCTGCTGTGGGAAAGGGGTTCTTCCTTTTTTGGTTTTTTTTTCTTCTTCTTTTAAAAAGAAAAAGAGAAGATGTTGCTGTTCAGACCGCAGAAGGCGCCTGGGGGATAGTCAGAGGCAGGTGGAGACCTGGAGAGATGCTCCTGGCCTCCCCATTGTGGAAGGGTTTTCCTAGTCCTCTTTCCTACAAAAAACCTCACCAGGGTGATTTTCCCCCCTCATTAACCCCCAAATGGCCCCAGCATCCCCTTCCCAGGTCCTGGAGGGTGTCAGGGCATCCCTGGGGATGGGCACGTGGCGCAGAGAGGAGCGACTGCCGGTGAAGCTGCCCTGGCGCGGGCTTGGGGCATGCCGGGATGCGGTTGAAAGGTTTTTTTGCAAACACCCACCCGAAACCAAAAAGATGGAGGGGAAGCAGCAGTTGCAGGGTGAAGTGCACCCCAAACTCCCTGGGTTCACGGGGATGGCATCCTGGGGGGCTTATCCCGGTGCTGCTCCCCACCACGAGGCTGTGCTTCATCACCACCATCCCGCTGATGCTCAACGAGGGATAGGGACCTCCCGGGGATGCTCCCGAAACCTCCTGCATCCCTCCGCCGTGCTTCCACAGATCTTTCCAGCTGCTCACCACCTTGCCAGGATCGGGATGGGCTCCTGCGTCAGTCCGGTGGGAACAAACCCCATGGGAGTGTGGGGAGCGAGATCCCCTTTGTCCTGGGAGGAAGGCAGCCATCCCCCTCCTCCCGCTCCCTGGCCCTTGCACCTTCGATTTTA